GTGGGTGTGTGTGTGTGTGTGTGTGTGTGTGTGTGTGTGTGTGTGTGTGTGTGTGTCCGGAAAGGCGCCTCATCTGTGAGAGAAACATAAACCAGCTCAACACCCACAAACAGGATGGAGCTGCTGTAAAAATTGCATCGGTGGTGATCTCAGTGTGAAACTGCGTTCTATTCCACAAAAAAAACAAAACAAATGAACACTTAAGAGCATCCGGCATGCAAGTGAAAGCAAACTAAACCGGGGGACTTCCAACATATGCCAGAGCCTTAACGGGTTTCCGAGGAGCCTGAACGCATCCTGTCGCGGCTTGGCGGCTAAAAACAACATGGAGACTTTGTACAGATGAGACCCATAAGATTAAGACAACTCCTTCTCCAACATCGCGCCAACGCCGGTTTACCCCGACCGCTCTCCGCCGGGAGACGCTCAGACCCAGCATCCCTGGCTCAGCGAGTCTGGCCACGTTGTTTGATTTATAGATCTAACGGACAAAGGAGGATTTGTTTTCACAGCTTCACATCAGATGATCAGCGCTTTTGTGACAGCGATTCCCACAGAAGCTGCAGCAGCAAATCGCTCTCCGAGGTGAAAAGTTCAGGTCAGCTGGAAGACACTTTCCAGGACTTTCCAGGGTTTTAGCTGTCTGTACGTAAACAGAATGAATAATACATTAACTACGGGGGGGGGGGCACAGCCTCGCTGACTTCCAGGATTATCCCATTCATTCATCAGACGCCCGCTAACTGATGAGCTTACGAGCCGCCCGTCGCAGCATCCAGACCGGCCAATCAGGAGGCTTTGAGCAGACCCAGGCGGGTACCGGTGTCTTTTGGTGTAGTGTCTGAGAGAAGACAGACTGAGCATCTGGTCCCTCCAGAAAGATGCACAATGAGGCTTCAAAAGAGCAGCGCTGGAGCCTCAAGGAGGTGTTCCGGTTATTATCATTCCACATTGCAGTTACATCCAGTCTCAGTGCTTATACGTGATGCCCTAAACTAAAACCCCCAACATGCTGTGGCATATCTAGGTCAGTTTATATACAGCACTAATTAATACCACTGTTTCGAGATATTTTCCATGACAAAAGGCATTATTTGACTGGTTGAATCACAGCACATTTCCAGAGTTGGTGAACTGTCCCATTTCCCCCGATTTTCTCCACTCGTTGAGCCCAGCTCGTTCTTTCTGAAAGCTGCCTCAGTCTCTGTGAAGCTTGCTGACTTGTACAACTGTAACTCCATCAGACCGTCCAAAACCTGTACTGAGAACAGCCCGTGTGGCATATCTGCTGTATGGGTTACCAGGAAATATTCTCCCCCTGATACACAGAAACGGGACAAGTGAAAACAATTTCAGCAACGCTGGCGGGGATGCTAAGAAAAGCACTTCATGCATTTCAGGAGGCAGATACTTGAACCAGCATTAAAAACGCATTAGAGTCCAAACCCACCTTACTGGACAGTCACTCCCATTACAACCAAATTAATACGGTTCTCCTGCTTTATGGGATAGTATGCTGGACTCAGCCTTCTGAATACAATCTGATGGATGCTGGGAATGCGTGGACCTACAAGCATTCAGCAGGAAGCAATCATACAAAATGTACGGTTAAAGTTACTACTCCTTAGTCTAATCAATTAAATAAGTTATGCTTGGGTGGGTTCTTTCTGAAAATGTAAAGTGTACAGGAGCACATCTCTTATATAAGTAAACATGTCTAAAATTATTTCCAACTCTAGACTGATGGGAGCTTTAAGGCATTAAGGAAAACAATTGCTCTGGTACCCAGAAGCCCTCCCGGATGAATAAAGTAATCTATCTATCTATCTATCTATCCATCTAATCATAGGTCATTTTTGACTTGCCAACACCAGGTCCCACTAACCCTAACCCTGGTTTCTGATGAAGAAAAAAAACAAAACACAGACAACAAATGGTCCCACGTCCATTAAACTCGTGACAGTTCTAACAAAGCATTTGGCAGTTCAGCCTTCATTGGCAAGAAGCACTTGTAGGTAGGTAAAATGCCAGCTCTCATCAGTGAGATGGATGAGAGGGGAAAACTCCCACGCCCACTGAATGCCCCACAGCGCCACAAATGTGCTGACAGCTCCAGAGGACCGTCCAGCCCTTCGCATCTCCACGCGCACGCACACTAACAGCTCTTTCTCACACACACACACAGACACACACACACACACCTGTCCGGCTCCACTTACTTTTCAAAGCCTGGATCAACGCCTTGCCGTCTTTAATCAGCTCCTTGATGAACTTGTTGGTCTTGTCCAGCTCCAGCTCGTGGGAGCGAAGCCTCTCCCGGAACTGTGGGCTGTCCAGGTAGCAGTCACTGAACTCCAGGGCGGGTAATCCCATCCTCTGCTCGGTCCCCACACGCCCCCCCCCCCGGGGAAAAAAAAAAAAAAAAAAAAGGGAAAAGAAAAAGCTCCGGACTGGGAGAGGAAGGAGGAAGACGATGCGGAGGCGGCGGGAGAGCCCCCGTGTTGCTCCCGCTGCTTCTGGAAAATACAGTTACAGCATGTAAACAGGGCGAGGATGTGTCCGAGGGGGATGCCTACCTACACAGCCTCCGCATTCCGTCGTTAACGCGAGCGCGAGACCTCTCGTTACTCCGAGAGGCGGCAAAACGGCAACCCGACACGGCATCCAATTAAATAAAATAGCAGGTCACCGCAGACGAGTGCCTGGAGAGGTTCAAGGAAAAAAAGGTGTCCACTTGCTCAGGTAAGCCGGTGCTGCATTCCACTCGACAAAGTCATTCTGGACCGGACGGACTCGGTTCAGGCCAACGGGGGGTGGAGGCAGCGAAGAAAAAAAAGAATAAAAACATAACAGAAGTCAGCTCGCACTGTTACGCTATGTGCTCAGTGGACAGCTTTAAAGGACTAGTTTCTCCACAGCCCCGCTCAGGACAGCACTGCAGACGGTAATCAACCTACCCCGACACGGATAATCCCTTGACTGACGTCTGGATCGACCAATGAGGTGGTCGGACGGAAGAACGTGACCCGCCGGGGGCTGGTGCACGTTAGCGACTCTGAAGCTCAGATGGGAAAATTGAGAAGACAGCTTACTCTGATCAAAACGTCGTTGTGGCAGAGTTTTTCCCTCATCTCATTTGGTCAAATATGCATTTTCGTGCATTTACCATACAAAACTGTGACTGACAACGTTTATATCGACACAAATACACAATTTAAACACTATGAGTGGATAAACAAAGAATTCACTTCCAAGTGATTGCATTCTTTGTTTTGAACAACTAATATCTGTTTTATAGAAATAATACTAACAATAATTACAATAATAATACATTTTGAGTTATAAACTCACCTGTCTGCTACTTCGTTTTCAGTTTTAAACACTGCTTTCATTTTCCTTCTCCAAGTTGTGACTGGTAATATTGAACGTTTTCATTTCAGTCAGTCGACATTAACACAAATTGATGATGGAAAGATTTTCAACTTTGACCATCTTCGTGAGTATAGACGATCTCTGCTGGTAGCGGGACCGGGGCTTGAATGGTGGGAGGAGACGCTGAGGTCATTTCTGTCAGAGCGGGGAATTTCGATGAGGACTTTTGTGAGGACTCTCTCTCTTTCTGACTTCTGGCGTCCTCTGTTGGCCAAATCTCATAGCGCAGTGTCTTGAAGTTCTTGTTTCTAACTTATGGACAGTGTTTCTTATTTATAATATCTGAAAAGAAATGTAGATAGAAAAAAGTTTGGCCGCTCAACTTGGATACAAATGAGAGTCATTTGATTGGAAAGACATCACATGAATGGAATAGTTAAAATTCCATCTGCTTCACATGGACTTGTAAAAATAACTGCTAAAAGAACATATAAAATGATGACATGTTTGCATATTTAATGTTGTCAAGCCTTTGAAATGAGTAAACTTTCACTTTTCATGCGGAGCTGTAGCCTAAATGCTTACTCGCTGATATAAAACATCATGTAAAACCATACAAACGTGGAAAATACATGTAGAAATGTCACATTAGCTCTTGATGTCATATTTGTTTAAAATCTTAAATCAAACAAATAATCAATAATTCCTATGATAAGTCTTACAAGAAGTATTTAAAGTATGGCACAAGATTTGTTTAAATGCTTTTCAATTAAGTTTTCCTAATAATATATTTTTTCATGTTTTTGAATGTCATGATTATAACAATCAACTTCCAATGAGAAACAACAATCCCTTTTAAGGGGAAAAGGGTCCTCTGGTTACACAAAATGAAAAAAGCTTAAGGAGTTCATTTGCAGACTCTGTGGTTATTACAGTATCCGACACTTTTTTGATCCGCGGCATGTACGCCATTGACTCATGTCGTTTGTGTCTGTGGCTCATGTGTGAAAATATCTCATATTTATAGGTGCCACTTCCTCCTCCCAAGCAGAGCTCTGCGTCTGGCTGTTTGCTCAGTTCTCCATCTGCCGCACCGAGGCGCCCGGAGATGGCCGTTTACAGGAAGTTGCCTGTTGTTTGCGTGCAAATTCTAAAGATGCAAGAGAACCGGATCAATCCAGTTTCTAATCAGGTACAGTATGCGCAGACCTTCACCCAGTGGTGGCTGCTGTGGCTTGTAGTCATTAAAACAGAAAAAAATACACAGGAAATTGTAAGGCTCATAAAGCAAATATGCACACCTACACACATTTACAGCATTTGATTCATCATCATTTTTCCCAGACCAAAGTCAGTCAGTGTTTACCCTCAGCAGACTGATTTTCAGAGGTAAAATGCCCCTTCAATCGTCCAAACTTCTGCTGTACTCGTGAAAAATGCTCAAGTGTGAAAAGATTTCTAATGAATCAGTATATTGAAAGATGGACAGCTTAATGAAGAGCAGTACAAATGAGCTTCCTCTCTACAGGGATACTTTATGGATGCTGACAAGTTGCTAATTAGATGTTTGAGGCCGCCTCTGTAATTACATCTGTCACATTCACATTTCCATGCCTCACGTTGGGAAACAAAAAACAATATTCTTTGAAAATTTACCAGCTTTGACAGCCGGCAACACGACTAACTCCAAGTTTTACTTTAAGATAACCTATAATTGTACATTTGTACACTGTAGAGCTGCCTAATACAACAACATAGTATTTTGTGTACTCATCATGCACCAGGAAGTAAAAATCTACCCAAATCTGTTCATGTAGAAACTTTTCAGATCAATAAGTAAGAAGCCCTTAACATAACTGAAACCTTCACAGGGATCTGAAACCATAAGGATACTATTAGTGCTGTTTAAGAGGTTTATATTAGAATAAGACAGCATTCCAGTCTCAGTTCTCTCCTTTTCAGGGTATGGTCTCATGGTTTGGTCAAAATTAGATTTTGACCTTCCACAAATAGACAGTAAAGCGAACACCTATATCTTATACGCAGGCATCTGAACTTAATTCTTGCCCCAGCACATACGCCCTGCTGTGGATATATCATTCCTCTTTTCTGGCTTGTTCGTGGCTTTTAACAAAACTCTGTTTAAATTGAATGAAGCACAGCTGAATGCCAGCCATGGGCAAAAGGGGTACTTCTTTATTTTTCTGTGCAGATCTGATTACAGCAGCCATACAATGTTAATTAAGAACAGCAATTTGAAACAGAATAAAACAAGTCATTTTTCTTATGGGTGTTAACGTTTTCTTTAAGCTTATTTTACTTGTCAGCCGGATGGAAATAAAACGTCTGCTGAATGAATTTGCTAAATGTAAATGTGCTGTAATCTATAAGAAACGCATGGTACTTTTCCAAAAAAACAATTGAGATCGAGAAACAGAAGAGACCCAGGATTTCTGCGTGGATGTCATTTGTGTGATCTTATCTATGATATAAAGTTGTAGTCTGCAAAGGAAAATAGAATGTTGTTCCCCATTTTTCTCCACAGTATTAAACAGACTTACACCAACATTTTCAATACTAGTTGCTAAAATGTAACTCACTCTGCCAAAACAAATATATCCTGCCAACTCATAAACAGAAGCATTCTTTTGAGAGAAATAGAAAACAACTGACTTTCAGTGTGTAACCAAACAGGTGATTAAAAAGTAGATTGGGAATCCCACCGTTTTTTGTTTTTTTTTACTGAGCTTGTTCAGTTATCTGGGATCTTTTTCACATGCTTGTGTAGCCATTCAGAGCAGAAAATCTGTGTGAATTAAAAAACAATTACACCGATATCCTGCAGGGGATGAACCAGAGAGGGCTCTCACCACTATTTCCACCACAATGAAGAATGTACGCAGCCTCCACTCCAACGCTGATTCTTTTTTTTTCCCTTAAATTTTTTTTTTTTTTACAAGCAAGTGCCAGACAGACAAAGAAAGCGTGCAATAAATAGAATCTCACATTGCTGTTTTTGGAAGCGTCACAGAGAAATGTCAACACCCCTACGGCGTGTTTCTAAATGCAGTTTACACAGCGCACATATTTGTCAAATGTTGTTTATATTGCAGAAACCACTGCCATGCGCACAGATTCCATCAGTCTAAGCTGTGATCCCAGTCACAGGTTTGGCCTCGGTCTCTTTTTGGACCGTCAGAAGCTCTTTTTTTCGAATGTTTACATGACGGTGAAATGCTAAACTCATTCCATTATGTGTTCCATTGGGACTGGTTACAACGCTACACTATTAAAAGCACAGGGACACCTAAATTTATAGTCTAATGACTTCCTATGTTTGGATGACCGAGTCTTCTATGTTTGGACAGATGTGAAATAGGTCCTGTGAGCAAGTAAGATGACCTAACTCGTGAGATATTGGCATTATGCATCATTAATTGTAGGAGCTGTAGGTAGGCTATTCAGTCTTTCGTGGATGTTTATGCTGTGCTCCTCACCAGTGTCCACTCGGAGGACTGTGAGACAGATCCTGCTGGATTCCAGCTCGATCCCGTGGCCCGCACATTACATCACTCTGTCTCGGCCTCCCGCACCAAAGCTAAAGGAGGTAATTTTAGTTCTGACGCTGGCCTGTTAAAATGAGTCCTCTGACATTGTTTGAGGGTACATGAGGGAGGAGTTGATGGAGAGCAGATACATACTTAAGCCCACAGAGTCCAGACCGTGGAGGAAAAGAAGGAGAAAAAAGCTTGGCACGGCAGGTTTGGTTTACCCGGCCTTCACTTGAGAGAGGAATAAAGAGGACATGCTGGCTCATCAGGGGTGCTGTCACATGACTTTCCCACAGGTAGGTGACCAACTCCGCGTGATTGGAGATGAGAAATGGAAGTTTAATGATTGCACATACAACAATGACACATACTCATACACAAGATTTTTCATCTCTCACACATAACACAAACTTGTTGTAAATTTTTTTCATGCAGGTCATCCTATGTGCTGATAGATACAAATCCCAGAAGTTTTTTGAGGTCCAGGATCTCTTGGTTCATCTATCCTCTGCTTATATTGTGTTTTCTTTTGTGGCATGTTAGTGAGTTATTGATCATCAAACGTAGAATATGACATCTCAGTAGTGACACAATACATCTATAGTTAAAACGCTTTCAGTTATTAGATTATTAGGATTGAGGGAAGTCATTTTCAAAGAACTGAAAAATTCAGTTCTTTGAAAATGAATTCAGTTCTTTATAGAAAACCCTTCATGAATTCTAACACTGAAAGAAAAATCCCATTTACCAAGAAAATGAAATGCAGTTTTGGCAATTCATGCAAAAGATGAAGTTAAAAAAATATTTCTCGGGAAAAAGAAATACACCCGACTCAGAATAAAGAACAATACTTTCTAATGAGATTGTACACACTGGCTTATGTGAACAAAAGCTGTTTGTGTGTGCATCAATGCCCTGTATCTCCTTTTTGTGGGAAAGTCCTGCAGACATCACCACCTGCTGCAGGTTCCTTCATGTCCACCAGCAAACTTCACAGTATAGAAGTTTTTTTTCTGTGAAAAGTTTTAAAGTTAAGATACAACTCTAACGACTAATTTAGTCCAGCAAGGGTTTCTGTGTTTGGCTTCTACAAAGCCTTATTTTCCCCCTAAAATCCCCTTTTGAACTTTACTCTACATGCCAGACGTACGCTCTCCCTCCCGTTTACACACAGGCTGTATCTTTCCTCCCACGTATCAGCACTCTGACTTGGTCATCTGCTGGACTTATTCCTCTCTGACGTCATTTCAACCTGCCGTTCTGTCCGAAGGTCCCAGACTGGTCAGGGCTATTCGCTAGATCCCACAGGACTCATCTCCAGACAGTGAGTGGGTGGCTGGGTAGGCCTTTTTACATTCCTCATGTGGCTTTCGTTTTCCCTCTTTCCCCCGTCTCTTTTTCTCCGTTTCTTCCGAGACATTCCGCGAGCGGGATAGCCTGGCTCTGCCTCTGGTTACAAATGATAACAAAGAGCAGAACTGCTTTAGTAACAGCGGCCGCCGGATCCACAGCAAGCTTTCCTCCTGTTTGACAGGACAGCTACCGGTGCTCTTTTGGGTCTCCACTCTCCAGGATACTGAGATTCCACTGAAATTCCACTGAAAAAAAAACTTGCTTTTCGGGATAAGCCTTTGAGGAAATAGACAGAGGGTAAGGTGAGAATGGAGAGTTGGATTTCTCTCAAGATTGCTTCTGACTTCTGGTGACCTGACTTCTAAAATGTAACCAGTGTTGCACACATCTGGCAGCAGAAGGTTTTGGAGGTGCAGAATGTTGCATGTTGAAATCCACTATTGTTTTACAAGTAGATGGCAAAGCCATGTGTTGCTTCTTATTTGTTACTTTTGCTGGCACTGGCCGTATGTCCGGCGGGGAGAAAAAGCATTATCGGTAATAACTTCTATTTGTTGCGTCCATGTGTTTTGCGTTTTTTGTTTGTTGTCGAATTATCAGCCGTCATCTGGAAATTATTTTCTGAGCACCGGAGCCAAACTGATGTTCAGACAGAAAACATGTCCGGTCATGTGCCGGCTGCTTCTGGCCTCCATCCAAGTCTGATCCCTGGATGGTTCTATCGCTTCAAAAAAAAAAGAAGAAGACGAAGAAAGCATGTCAGAAAAAGACGACAGAGACAAGCAGAGGGAGGACGCGTGTGGTGGGGGGGGAGTGTCTTTCCAGTAATGGGATAGCCTTCCCTTCCTGCCTACTTTCGTGAACAGAGTAGGTTTCCTTTATCTCTGCAGACCCAGGGTCATCACTCGGCTTCGTCCACTCCCCGGAGTCAGCGCGGGATGTCCGAGGGGGAGGTCACCGTGCTGCCCTTCGGCTCTGCGTCTCTGGACCTGTCCAAGCAGGAGCAGCGCGCGCTGACCAGGCTCTACAGTCAGAACGGGGGGTATCACCTGAGGATCTTACCGGACGGAACGGTGAACGGTGGGAGGCAGGAAAATGACCCCCATGGTGAGACATATGAAAGCATCCTCTCTTCTTTTTTGATTCGTGGTTTGGTGATTAAAGGTAAAAGACACAGAAAAGCGCTATGGGAGACAAATAAAAAAATAAAAAAATAAAATAATGTCAGGCAAGGAGGTAATGCAGTAAGAACTGGATTTTAACTTAACAACATTAATGTTTAGGAATGGGATTTAGTTATTGCTTATTATGCTGTCTTATGACCAATAGATGAAGTTCTCTTCCATAAGTTGGTCAAACTCTGGTACTCCCGCTTATTGATTTAGGCTCACAGTCACAGCTCAATTTCCTTGTGCACACATTTGGATGATGTTGAGTCTTTTCCCTGAACCATGCAGGGCAAATATTGCATTTCGGAAAGTCGTTGTTACAATGTGGCAGGTTTGTTTTCCACTCCAACCTCGGATTGTGCAACAAAAGTCACAGGTCGGCCTGATGTTGTGTGTTACAGATCTCCTACGGATAAAAGCTGTGAGTGTGGGGGTGGTGGCTATCAAAGGTGAGATGACAGGAAGGTTCCTGGCCATGAACAAAAACGGACGCCTCTATGGATCAGTAGGTTTTTACACTTTCATACCATCTTTACTTCTGATTTGAGACGATAATGGCTTTATGGACACTCATGAAATCCTGAAAAAATGTATAGATTTCAGAAAAGTTGAGATTCTAAGTCTATGGAATGACCTAACACCGTTTTCCACAGTTACAAAACAGTGGAAAATCACAGTATTTTCAGTAAATGGTGTAATAATTTGTCACAGACACATAAAATAACCTGTGAGTAATGTATGCTGCTGCCGCACATTCTTTCATATGAATTATCACGAAGCATTGATCTATTCAACCAACCTTGTTCTGTTCTCCCTCCCCGATTCTTGTCTCAGCAAGCACTTAACGATGAGTGTTACTTCCTGGAGAACTACGAGGAGAACAACTACAACACATATCGCTCTCAGAAATACGGCTGGTATGTTGCTTTGAAGAGGAATGGCCAGCCTAAAGTGGGAAAAGACACTCACCAGGGACAGAAGGCCATCTTTTTCCTGCCAAGGCCCACCGGCTAACAGTCTACACGTAATCTTAATACACAATATTTAGAGGAGGAAAATGCACAATGCCATGTTAGGGTTAGTTTGATCTTTCTCCTAACAGTTCAAATGTTTGACTTATCAGACTATTCCAACTCATGTCAACAGTTTTAACAAATGTATCACCATGCGGATAAGGACTTTTTATCCTGACTACGCTTTGCTTATAAGCACACATCCTCCCTTTCTACTGCAGGCAGAAAATATGTCAAGCATCAGCATATTCCCTTGTTGGTAAATGAGAGCTCACTTTGAACCCTTGCTTGAAATACCACTGCTGGGAGATAGAAATGGGCGGTGCAAAAGCAAGCAAAGATAGCCTCACAGTCCATGGGGTCTGGAGGAAATACAGCCACCAACAAAGCAAACACATAACGATTATTGCGAATCATTTTGCAGACAATGTTGTTCAAGGTCTGCAGCACATGGAAGAATTGCTTAGTAGACTTTTGTTATGCCTTGCTCAAATTTTTTTTATCAGTCAATAACCTAAATATCTCCATAACTATATGCTTAAGATGGGATGATACTTGTCCTCTGATAACTTGTTTGGATGAGGTGGTAGTGCCCCTTGTTGGGACTTTTTCAAGCTGATGTGGTAAATGATTTGCTTTGGTACAGTTGAAAACAGCTTCTTTGTTCAAAACCTTCACGATAACCTTCATAATACTGGGGATGAAGCTGTATGATATGTTCTTTTTGCCTGGCAAGTCTCTGTAAAGCTAAGGTGATCATTCTGTGACTGGTACAGTTTTTATTTTTGCCATATGCCCTTTTGAGGTGTGGAATCAAATGCTTTTTGGGCAGACGGAGTGTTACTTGATTCTTTTTAAGGAAGCGGTAACGGACCAAAGAAAGCCAAATATCAAAATTTAATTTTCTTTTTCATCTTCACCGCCGCAAATACACTATGATAGTTTACACTGCTAATGTGATTATTTATTTAAAATTCTTGCTGCTTTGAATATAGAATTTAACTCTTACTCTACAGAAATGTTAAGATTGTATACATATATACACAGTGAAGGCACAAAAAGGTAACTTGATCACCTTTTCACAAGTAATACATATTGTATTTATTAAAATGTATGGAATATGGCTTCATTGTAAAAGAATAAATAAACACTTTGAGTATGTTTAGGTTTTTCACAAAAAAATAAATGAACCCCAAAAAAAGGTTAAAGCCCTTTTTTTTTCTTCCAAAGACACATTGGTGTTAATCAAATTGCCGGTGAGTCTGCCTCTGGTATTGCACATGAGTCTTATCTTTGGTCACAAGATGGCAGCATTGTTTCAACTTCAGAAGTGCTTTTTTCCCCCAATTTTCTTTTGACTGATGGAAGCTGAAGCTGTACAGTTCAAATTATTGGGTAAGTTTTTGCACATGATGCATAAATACATAAACCTGTCCAGCTTATACACAGCTATGCTTGTGGAAGCACAAAGTAGAAAGAATTCTCTCAGACCGCACATATTCATAAGCATATGGAGAAGATAAGGATACTTACTAAACATAATGCAAATTCAAGTTCTACAGGAAAAACTACTATATAAAGATACATGTTTAGGCCCCCTTTAAGCTTTTGATAATTATTTGGGTGCAAAAACTTACACTTCTAAGGAACAAATTCAGCATTTGATCTTTGGACGTAACCAGCTAAAATAATTTCCACACATGATCAAGCAATAAGTTTGTGAGTCTTACTTTCGGCTCATTTAATGTCCTAATATGATCTCGTTTCTCAGACAAGACTTACTCCTTTCACACTGAAGTCATCATAACCCCAAGGGTTTGACACCAGACCACACTGAAAGTCCTAGTCTCACCCCAATCAAATATTTTCACCTCATTTTTTTGGAAGTGAATGCGTTCTTTATCAAATCCCTGCTTAAAATGTGGCAGCTGAAACAGCCGGCCGTGAAATGCTGTTTCAGAGGCTGCTGTGCCAGAAAAAAACATCCAGTGGAAACATGCAGTGGAACATGATTCAAAATGATTGACCGAAGCTGATTCTTCAACAAGCTTCATATTGGTGTGAACTGGCATTTTAGTATGATATGTTACTGACCAACAACAGATGACAAACTTGACCAATCATTATTTTTAATTGGGTATTAATGTCCTTTCAAATCTTATGTTCTACAAATATGTCATAGATATATGGCAGGTATGTGTATATATATATCTGAAAATGACAGCAGGGATATCCCAGATGTTCAACCATAAACCAAGTTAATAAAACAAATGAGAATACACTTTTATCCCCTAGCAGTTTGATATTTTCATTTCTTAGGATTTTGACATTTGCCCTATTTTTAATCAATTAAAGATGCATTTTTCACAATTACCTTAAAATAAAGCTAAATTAACATTGTATACAATTATATAATGCGTATCTGGCATTCTTTAGAGTCCTCTGATATTTTAATCATTTTTTCATTACTTTATTATTTATGTGTTTTAGACATATATAAAAGTAACTGGTGGCAGATAAAGACTTCTTACTTTTAACCAATCACAAAAGTGGCATATACCGGAGTCAGTTGAACAACCCGAATGACCTCTCATTTCTAAGACCCCCCCCCCACACCTCCCCCAACACACACACACACACACTCTCTCTCTCACACACATACACACAGCTCAGACAGGGAGCACACACACAAACCTGCTTGGCCGTTGGCCTGCTGGGCTGTGCAGGGCAGGAAGGGAATCATTCACTGTAAACTGAACAAGGACTGGCTTCCTCTGGGAGTCCCCTAGCTTGACAGCGGCCAAGATCCCTGCAACACAAACCACTCTAGCAGACACACACAGATCAACACATACACACCCTGGAACTGAGACACACTGGCTCATCTGTTACTCATCTCTCTTTTCTCAGTCCCATCTTGCTGTTCTCTCCCTTCCTGCTTGTCTCTCAATTTCAGCCGGGTTTTTTTTTTTTTTTTAATACTCTCATTTATACTCTCATTTTCTACGAGCATCTCCCTCTCTCTTTTCCTTTTCAGCTTTTTTAGTTCTCTTTTCCAACTGATTGGCAATCAATTGAAAATTTTCCCAAAATGCTTCTGTGCAATTCTTTAATTGGGTTATTAATTTCAGGACTCTCAGGGATGAAGAGTTCTTAGGTTGGAAACCTCAACAAACCTTTAGAATACCATAATTAGACAGATATTGAATGGATAAAGACTAATGTGTAGTTATTTATATCAACAATAAACCCATCAAGAAAATAATCAATCAATAAAAAAGAAAGAAAAAGATATTGACAATTATGAAATACACTCCTTTGTGCTCTTCTTTCACTATGATCCTTTTCTTTGTAATGTTAGAAGAGATGCTTCGTCAGTGTGGCTGTGAGCAAGCTTCTCCCGTCACTTTTCTCCTCCACACAAGCCAATCACACACACACACACACACACACACACACCGACGGGAACGGAAACAGGGGATGCATATCCGTCAGCTGATCCAACTGGAAATGCTGACACTGGCATCCCATCTACCTCTGCCTTCTGAGGTGAGTGGGGAGAAATAGCAGAGATGGAGGAGGGAAAAAGCAGAGGAACAGAGAGAGAGAGAGAGAGAGAGAGAGGGAGAGAGAGAGCATTTTGTCAAGCCAGAAAATCGCCCGGATGCTTGTGGTTTGCCCAACAGCAACTGTTTTCCCAATAGATGATAAATGCTGGATGGACACATTCTGAGGGGCACCAAACTTGCAGCCTTCCCTCACAGCAGTAGCAAAAAGCATCTGTTGACCACAAGATTGCACGCAAGAGAGATTTATAGATAGATCTTTTGAACTTACACTCATGAAACAAAAAGATCTATCAAATTAAGAGTCCAAAGGGAAATGTATCTCTCATTGTGCACAATTCACAAGACACTCTTCTATCAACCATTTCAAGGGTATCATGTGACTCACTCCATTGTACTGTATAGGTTTAATTCATTTTAGTTTTATGTTTTAAAAGATCTTGTTCAACTCAATGAAATGATGATAATTACCCCAAACCATGCGTTGGATTAAAAAGTTGATTGGGTAAATCAAAGGTCACACATATAAAAATATGCCATTTGAGCCCATGAAGATTAAATAAATTTGTGTGTTTGTGTAGTTTTGATGAGTCACGGAAAATGAATTTGATTGGACACGTGGCCTGCGTGTCAGTTTGTGTTGTTTTTGTGTTGTTGGCTGAGGCCATCGGACTTAGCAGCCACAAACCCCAAAAAAGCAATGTTGCGATGTGACACAGCATCTAATCCTGTCTTTCTAAGTGAAGTTACAAACGTTTACTGTATTACTCAGTCACGCCCTTTCACCATCTATAAAACACCATCGTCTAAAATTATATCGACTTAAAATATGGACCATCTCATCTATTAAATGTGATACAATGTTATAAGTGACTATGTTGTTATATTTGGACACAATTTGTTATTCAATGGAACACATTTTTGAAAAGACTTTGTCTGCCAATTGGATTGTTTTCCACACTTTAGAAATAACACACTTATTGTTATGCTGTTTCCAAGGTGGGTTTTTCACATACTGCTTCATGTTTCTATGCCATCGTCTCAAACTTGATACATCATTTTTTTTAAGTTTAAAGGAATAAACTTTCTGAAGGTTTACCTGACCTGACATGTTGCACAGAACCAAACACACTAGAAAAAAAACAACCAGAAAGAACAACCCGTTAAATCTATGTGGGTGATTTTTTTTTAACTTTTTATCGTTGTATTCCAGCGTGTCTATTTACACCTTCTGGTACCACAGGAAATAACGAGAATTGTGTGAAAAAAAGATGGAAAAAACCTCGGACAGATGGAACATCATATACAGGGTGATTGTTTCCTCGCACCTGCATTCGGTATAACTTGAACACACATACACACACACACACACATTCCCACACAGTCTCAGCGTGACTCTCTAAATCACTGCTTGTACTTCCGCAAATATGGGAGAACTGTCATCCATTGTTTCAGACACACACACACACACACACACAACTCATCAAGACCGGATGCTGGCCTGTCTATTCAGCTGTGATGTCTCACATACACAAACACACATTCATACACAAGACCAACTGCAGCGATGACGTCTGCGGAGGCCAGAAATAACTTGAATGGAATACTTGGCTGTGAAGTCAGATCACTTTCTGTTTTCTTTCATGTATTTTTAACATCCTTGTGATTTACTTTACTCATCCTTTAAGCTGCAGTCTGACTCCAGACGGGACTTAAAACACTGTCATCCTCGCAGCTGCGCGGGGGGACAGGTTTTTGTGGCAACGCTGAGCTCACATATTTCCCCGGTGTAACCTCACAGCGTCGTTAACTGCCATTTTTTTTAAAGAATGGCTTTACAGGTTTGTGTTATCGTCACATTTCCTGTGCTGCTAATCCACCTCGTGTAGATTGTTGCCCCACAGTCGAATGGAAAAAAGTTGGATCTGTGGTGTGTTGTATGATGTTAGATTGTTGGTCAACATAACAAAGGGATTAGAACAATTTAGCGAGCAATGTCTCAATATGCAGTCGACAAACTGACTTTTTGGATGACGGCTAAACATTGAGGCTACAGAAAATGCTCAATGATACCGATAACATCAACGTGTCAATATGAATGGCTCTTTGTCAACATTGTCAGAGATACAGAAATCACTCATAAACCTGGAGTCTGACTTTTAATATGAATTATCAACTGGGTCAAAAAGATAATATATAATAAAAGGGAAGCACCTTTCAACGCAAATTAAATCAAAATTTGTGAACATGTTCTTTTCCCAGATCAGACTATAAATCCAGTGTAACATACCATGGAAATCAAGCCAGGATAAACACAGCATACCTCACTAAACGTTGTATCACACTTTACAGCCATTTGTTTAATAGTTGTTTTAGCTATTTAATTTATCACTTTTCAGATTTACTCGTATAAAATTTAGATGCTTTATTTTGACTGATCAGTGTTACGCTTCTGCTTGAGAAAATATGTTTATGTTTTTATTCATACGTTTAAGCACCAACGGGGGCGGAAAGCCGTCTTCCTTCACAAACAGAAAAGGCACAATTTCCAAATACTGTAATAGTTTGGATGAATAAGCCCTCGCAGTCCTCCTCTTTTTGTTTCCCTTTTGTCGTCATGGAATCACT